CCCATCTAGGGCCAGCGTCCTTCGTAGCTTGGGGATGGCGTTCTGGTTGGCGAGGAGTGAGTGTTCCTACCTTTACCCCGAGTCATTCCGGCATCGCTCTGGGTGAGCGCGTATTGCGGAGTGACGTTCGACTCGTAAAGGCTCGTGCGGTTACAACAGTTAGCTTATAGAGGTGCGTTGGGGATATGTGACGTGTCCTAGCACGAAAGAGAGTCACGGCTTCCGTCGCCTCAGAAGGTGTATCCAGCGGCTCGTGGAAACTGCAGGCCGCCGTCATCATGCTCGACGTCTCCTTGCAGCTCACGCCGCCGGCACCGTCGGGTTACTGATCTGGGGAGCGGGAATCCAATGAACATCTGTGCGGCTACATAAGCAGTGTGAATGGCTATGCTCGGACCGCCCGTCTACACTTCGAGAAGAGTGGTCGCGACGCGAAAGAACACGTACAGCAGTTCCTGGCAACATGCGACGATGACAAGCTAGCGGAGAGCCTCTACCACGCTCGAGTCGCCGACATTCACGAGCTCGAAGAGATCATCGAAGATGTTCTCAAGGGCAAGGAGAGAATGGCCAAGCGTGACAGAGAGTACCGATACTCTAAGAGTCGTGATACGCGACGCGACGATGGGTACGCCCGCAACAACCGCGTCGCCGCGATGACAACCGCAACAAACCAAGAGTGACACTCATTGAAGCCACGGTGGACGACCTACTAGCTGAATTAGAAGGTCGTGAAGCTGATCAAGGAGGCAACGAGTATTCAAACGAAGATCCGAACGCTTACGACAATGTCCAAGATGAGTACAACGACTTTCAGCCCGATAATACGGATGGTGATTTCTCATTGGATGAAAACGACCGATACCTCGCCGCTGCTAACGAAAACGAGCGCCGTGCAGCTGCTGAAGGCATCTACGCACGTTCGGACAGCCGTCAACCGCGTGGAAACACGCCTGATCGCGAGAATGGCTTCAATCAAGATCGCCGAAGTAGTGACCGTGGGTTCAATCAGGACCAACGCGGTCGACGTGACTTCAACCGCGACAACCGACGCCCACAGTACGGACCATGCGCGGTGTGCGGTGGCATGAGTCACTCCGCTCACTACTGTAACAAGCGATGCAAGTTCTGCAAGCAGCTCCACGATGCTGGACAATGCGAACTTTTCCGAAACTTCCAAGACCTTGCCAAATTCGTGCGCACTAAAGGCACGAAGGAGGAACTCCCGCCAGAGCTCAAGGCCGTCGTTCAAGAACGTCATTTAAACTAGGCAGCCCGCCAACTACAACTGGGTTGGTCCCTATCGGGCTGCCACAGTTAACCGAGCCTTCAATGGAAGCAGAGTGTATCTTTGCTTTCATGGGGCAGAGTGAATGGCCTGATAATTACGTAACAAGTGTGAACGCGACGGAAAATGAGAA